CTTGAGCTCCCAAGTGATGCTTATGGCAGAGGGGATGGGTCCAGCCAGCCAGCCCACTTACGTGGGACTGTGCTGTGGGACTGAGCATCACTTCTGGCAGTTGTCTGCAATTGCATCTGCATCGCAGTATTACCCTTGTGAGTGTGTTTGAAAGAAGCTGAAAAATAGTTTAATCCCACCTTTTGTGTTCAGGCTGGGTTTTTTTCCCCCTAGAATTAAAATACTGTGCTGGCATGGTATTATTAAACACACAATTAATGTTCAGGTTGTAAGGTTTTATAATAAGGGATGAGATAAAAGGGTTGTCTGCACCCATGCAAAGGAGCACAGGGGCAGGCAGGCAAAGCCCCAAATCCCAGATGGAGGAACAAAGCCTCTACCCCAGCTCCTCCAGGGGTTGTCGTAGGGGAGCCATTGGCTCGTGGGCCAGGAGGGACACCCATCAGTGAGTCCATGGGAGAGGACCCTGTCCATCACCTTGCAGACTAAGGGGCATTACTGCTGGCAGGGCTCTGGGAGTGTCATTGCAGGATGCCAAAGAATGAGCTTTTGGAAGGACAAGACTTATTATGGGATGTTTAGGTGAAGAACCAAAAGTGAGGAAAGGGATGCCTCAAGGTCCTTTGGAGGAAACTAATTTTGAAAACTGAGGAAAAAGAGGCTGGTCCCATTTAAATGGGGCTGGTCAGTACACTTGGCTGGCTGTGCCTTGTGCCCCATCAGCCCAGTCTGCCCCATCTTCTCAATAAACCTTATTTCTGTTTTCCTGGGTGAGGGGACTCTAAGTCTGCATATAGAGGTGCAAGTACTAGCAACTGGAGAGGCAGGCCATGAGACCATTTTGTTTGCTTGGGTGCTGTTTTCTGTCCCTGTTGATCCATGGCTGGCTGGCTGTCTGTCTGTGCCGGCGCACAGTGCGTGTGTATTTGTGTGTGAGCACATTGGGAGTACTTGCTCAGGCTTGCCTCTAGCTGGGGCGGGGAGTTGCAAAAACTGAGCTGTTCTGGACTACCACATGCTGCAAGTTCTAACAAAGAATAAAAATTCTGATGGAACAACTAGTGTAGTGAAAGAAAATGTCCTCGTTTTTCCTTGGAAATGTTTTTTAAAAGGCAGTATCTTTCTCTGATGCTGATATTTTGGTCATGAGCCTGGTTAAGTTCTCCCTGAGCCACCTCTGAGTACAGTGCCCAAAGCAACTAGCTGTGCATTGTAATAGGTTGAAGTAATGTCATGTATTAACGGAGCCTGAAATATAAATGATTTTGATCGGAGCACAGAAAATTAGGTAAGTAAAAGAGTTCTGCTTTTGAGGCATTTTGTCATCCCAAAATGAAGACCACCACATGGATTAATCACTCTCTGCATGTCATGCAGTTTACAGCCACTTAACAATGATTAGAAATAAACTTTATATTCACTCCTGAGCACTGCAGTAAGCTTTCATTTTCTGAGGTGCTTTTATAAAGCATAGGACAGAATATTATTCATGTCTATGAAGGATACATAGTTCTACCACTGCAGGAAGAAAGTTGTGAGACTGTAAAGCTACTTAAAATGGTGTCTCTTTGTCCTGAAGAAATGGGCTACCTGCCTGATGTTTTAATCTTAAGGGCAGTTTCTTAGCTTAATTAGATTTCAGATGCAAATCTGTGAACATTATTTGATTTCCTCCGTCCTTCATTCCTGCCCTAGTGGGACGTGGATACGAAAAGCATTTAAAGAGATGTTTTGTCCACCAACAGCTTCTCTGAGCTAATGCACTAGAGAAGTACAATGATGTGGTTTCCCTTAGTGCAATTTCTTCTTAAAATGTGCAGAAATGGGTTTTTGAAGCTAGACTTTAAATTCAGATGGAAAAAGGATCTTTAAAGTCAGTGACTGCCCTGCATCTTCACTTAAGATCACTTTCTTTTTCTGGTTGACTGACACCTTAGAACACATGCTGTTAGATGTTTCCAGATTGCAGAGGCAATGAGCTTAACTTCAGAGGGAGACAGTAAAGATGGCTGTAGACAAGAGTGCAGGTTCAGAACTTCCTGAGTAAACCTAGCCTAAAGGGATTTTGTCCCTGCTCATGAATAGTCTACCTTTATCTCTTGCTGTAACTTTTCTTCTTTTTAGGAGATTCTCCAGTAGCATGTTTGGCAGTGATGCAGTGACCCCTTCCATATCCATTCCATTGATAAATCAGCATAGAAGACACAGAAGCTTTTTGTTTGGATCCAGCAGCTCTACTGCATGTCACACTAGCAGGGCATGCTTCTTTCAGCAGCTGTAGAAAACTGATTAGAGCTGGTTATTTCCACATGCTTGCCTTGCCAGGGAATTAAAGCTTCAGGCTGCCATTTGTGTGGAGTTCTTAAATATGTATGACCCAGACCAGGGGGCTGTTGAGAAAGGCTCTAATCCTCTTGCATATGAAACCTGGTGTTCTGGTCTTCTCTCTTTCTGGTATGTCTGTTCTTTCAGATATGCTAAATCAACCCTTGAAGTTTCATTTTTCCTTGTGTAAAATACACTTTATTAGGTGAACCTTGCAGCTGGAATTAGGAGATGCTGGTTCAAGCTGGACACACAGAGCAGGTCATGTAATCATCCCCGCGTGTAATGCTGAAAGAGTAACGTCCATCCTCTTATATGCAGCTCTTTGAGCTTGGTTCTGGGTAACCATAATGTAGTGTAGACCTTCTACAGTCTGGTGGGAAGCCCTGCTGGAATGTTTCTTGTATAGGGATGGCACGGATCCATAGGTAAGGAGTAGAAGCATCCCTCTTTCTGATCAGGAATTCATGGGGAGAAATATACTTGCATGCTGGAGAGGTCCGACCAGCTGTGAGTACAGAGGGTCCTGCCAGTCCTACTTGTACAGAATCAAGAAATCTGATGATTTATTACCTGTACCCTGTAATTGCCAGTGGTCCTGTAAAACCTTGATTTTTCGGGAACACTTGCATGTAATGGCAGACTGTTTAGCTGCAAAGGTGCAAGTGGCCATAAAGTGGGTGAGAAACTCATCTAGCCAAAAACTTTTTTTATAAGTCTTTTTTCATGCAAGGATCTCAGGAAGGCTGAACTTTTCTGGCCTCCCTCTTGGGGTAAAGTGCGTAGGTTTTATGTGTCACCAGGACCTGGGTAGCTATGGATGATCAGGAGGAAGACAGATTGTAGGAGATGGACATCTCTTGGAGGTATGTGTAGTAGCCCTTCCCTTGGTTGGGCCAGGAACTGGGGGATGACCATAATTCCTTCTGATGGCAGAAATATTTGGAATAGTGGGGGGGAAAAGTGAGATGTTCCCAAAATGAAAATATTTTGTAATCAGGTGCAGCAGGCTGGCTATCATTTTCTTTTCTAAGTGCTGGGTTTTTAAGACATGTTCAATTTTGGCATCTCTTGGTAGGAGATCTGAAAAGTTCTACCTGTACAGGGATTCTCTGCTTATACAGGAGGTGATCCCGTAACTAGAGAAAAGATGGAATATTGAGTTTTGCTCTGATAGACCTCCTAGGAGCCATATATAGCTCTTTAAAAACCTGAGTAATCTGCTGCTGCCCGAGAGAGATTGTTATAAGGCAGCACAGTTATAAAATACTCTGAAAGGCTGAATAGGGTTTTTCCCCCTCTTGTGATATTTGGAATTGAACTTTAGATACATCATTTTGAACATAGCCTTTTAAAGTAACCTTCTATTCTTGCCATGTCATTTTTAGAGCTGTAAAGGAGAGCCAAAATGCCAGGGAAGGAGAGCAAATAAAAACGAGGAATGGGGATAAAGAGTAGGTTTTGATCATTTTTGCAAGAAGTGGCATCATCTGTGAGAACAAAAGTCTTCAATTGCTGCAAGTGGAGACAGCTTTTAGTCTCCAATTCTATTTTGCCCTCAGCCAGCCAGCCAAATAAAAACAGCGACATAAATCACTGCTGGCAGAACTTAACAGTTATGCAACGTCCAGTGCACCACATGCCTATTTTTAGATCAGTTTTACACTAGCAGAATTTACTTTATGAAATCTAAAAAGAATGTCTGGTCAGGGACCGGGGGCTAAAGAAGGTATTTAGGAAGTGCAAAATATAAAACCACTTAGTACAAAGATGGGCTAGCAAGCCCCACTTTGGCATCACTGATACCCTTCCAAGAGCATTGGCTCAATCAGACATGCTGATGAAGAGCAGGGAGTTTTTCATCAATATCTGAACCTGAATATCTAATCTGCAATTGCCTTTTAAATGGCTAACTACACTCACTGTACCCAAATAGCCAACTGTATGTGGTTTACTTAACGCTGGGCTTCAACCCCCACTTAGGCTGCACTTTATCTTTCCCAGATCTGGAGTGCAGAGAACAGCAGCTCACCTCCTTACAGTACTGGCTGCTCAGGTATAAAAGAAATTGTGTTAACAAGAGTGCTCTGCAAAGCTGGCTGAGCTGCAGAGCTGCTCCTCATCCTTTGTGAGATACATTAGATTTAATTACTTCATGATATTTAGCTGGTAAATGTTTCACTTATGTTTTCTCAGTCTTCGGTGAATTAGGATTGTGTATGCTGCTTGCTTCAGAGCAACCTGAATCTGTTTCAGTGTTCGCAGGAACAAAGACTAAGTTTTATTTCATTAGTGAAAAGAAATTTCAGCGTGCAGCACAGCTAGGAATGACTGAATATTAGACTCACATACTGTGCTCTTTATCCAAGACCAGATGTGTGCCTTCTCTCCTTTAAATTTGACTTTAATCTCTTACTCGCTGTTGTTATTCTGCACTGGTTTATACTGTGTATAATCTTGTTCACAAAGTTTTTTGCTCAGATTCTGAAAAGATAATGATTGGGAAAAGTTTGACCTTTCAGCCTTTAAAGATTCTAGCACATTAAACGTCCTCTGCATAGCTAAGATATCTCTGGGATTTCTGCCACAATTTTCAGTCACATCTTGAAGCAAATTAATGTTCTGACCATTATGTGATCTGTATTGATCTTTTTTCCCCAAAACTTTTCTTCTAGGTGACAATCTCGATGCTATCCATGACATAACCGTGGCATACCCCCAAAACATTCCTCAGACAGAGAAACACCTTTTGAATGGAAACTTCCCGAAGGAGATCCACTTCCACGTCCAGAGATACCCAATAGAGACAGTGCCCACTTCAAAGGAGGAGCTGCAGCTTTGGTGCCGGAAGCGTTGGGAAGAGAAAGAGGAGAGACTCCGACGCTTCTATGAAGGTGGAAAATGCTTCAGTGCAGCAGGGCAAGGCATTGTTCCCCCCTGTAAATCCGAGCTCAGGGTCCTGGCGGTGAAGTGCATCTCGCTCCTCTACTGGACAGTGTTCCCGCTGGGTATGCTCGCGCTGCTGTACCTGTACAGCTTTGCACAGTGGTATTTTGCAGCCATGGTCATCTTTTTTGTTGTGCAGCAAAAGATATTTGGTGGGCTGGAACTAATTGAACTGGCTTGTCATCGATATTTTAAAAAGCAACAGAAACTTCACGACACGGAAACAAAAAACAATTAGTTCTGGCGTAGAGAAAGGGTAGGTTTGAGATGCCCTGCGAATTTTATGCACAGGGAACAATTTTTGCATGAGAATTGTCTTTTACTATCGCCATTGTTAGACGTTTGCACATGATTCTGTGAAGAGAAGGAAAAATGTTAGTTATTCCTACATGTGAAAATGGTAATTTTTAATCTCTGAATGTAATTTCAACATTGCTCTTGCAAACAGCTAGCAACTGAATTCTGCTGTCATTAAGAAACAAATTGCTGGATTACTGAACAATCACAAGGACGTTAATAAATGTGTAATGCACTGGACTTTTGTGTAGAAACCCAAACTGTTCAGCTAACAGAGACAGATGTATGATTTCTGTATAATCACGTTGTTGTGAAGTAAGCATTGGATTTGGAAAGCTGGTAATGTGATGTTTTGATGGTAGGTGGAAGTTGGAGAAGTTGTTCTGTTTCTTTTTTATATTTCAAATACTCAAACTTCTTTTAAAATAATATTTTTGCATAAGCTTTTTCAAATACTACTGAACCTACCACTGTTCAACCATTGTGGCTTGGTCACTCAGAGGATTTTTTAAGCTTTGCATTCTTGTGTCATAGTACTGAAAACAGTGCAGGCTCTGCCTCCATTTAAGTCTTTGCTGATTATTTAATAGACCTCTGCAGCTAAGTTTTGGTTTCTCACTATTTCATACTGTTTCTGTCTCCCTCTTAGCTGTGGGAGAGTTGTTCCTACTGTAGTATGCAGAGCTGTGGGATAGGGGAACTGGGTTTTTTTGTTGGTTTAGTGGTCTTTTTTTCTCACAGAGGCAAAAGTAAGTGTCTGTCTCCAAATAGCTGGAAAATGTTTTTTCAAAACAGTGTCCTTGTAGACATTCTTTGATTGAAAACATTTTATATAATTTTCAGAGTAGGCAAGATATCTCTTTTTTTTAGCATTAGTTTTGGTTTTCACGTTGCTTCCTTTGGCATTTCACGTGTCCGTATAGATAAGCAGGAAGACTGCTTGTTCCATGCATGCCAGACAGACCTGTTGAAATGCATATGATGGAATGGTTGTCTCCGTATTGGTACAAGAGATGGGTTTGGGTTTTAGACTTATCACAGAACAGGGAGGAGCTACATCTTCCCTTTGCTGTATTGGCTTTGATTTCTTGATGACATCATTACTTTTTTAACCTCCTTCACAATTTTTAGGGGGGTTCTCTTGGGGCTCCCACTATAACATGTTCACTTTTTTTCATGACATTCAGAAAATCTGAAGGCTTAAGCTTAGACAAGGCACTTTCAAGTGTATTCCTTGTCATATACATTAAAAGTAATGTTATATTCAAAGACGAAAGCATTGCCAGCACTTAGGAGACATTTCAGGTCTTCAGGTTAGATTGTTCTGCAAACCTCAAAAATTTTAGACAACTTGATCAATTCTACTGCTGCAAAACCTTCCTGACTTACTAAATATTTGTTGTTTATTGCATGAGGGCTTGTTTGAGCCAGACTGAGATGGCCTGGCTCGGTGTGTTAAGTGGCATTGCCGTGAAATGTGAAAGTGCAGAGCAAAATGTATCTTGTACTGTGCTGGGTGTCTCAAGCGTTGGATTGGCATTGTGGACACACCTGTTTGCTTTTAAATTACGACACTAAGCATGTTGTCTTATGTGTTTGTTTCAAAGACCATTCTTTTAACAAATCACCAGCCTCTATTTAACTGTCCCTTGCAAGGTGACAAGTCTTTTTTAATCTATGCTTATAATAACTAATTGTTTATTATGCGGAAAGTACTTGAAGCCATCTGGTTTACTCCAATTTTTTTAATCCCTTTTTTCTTAAAAATAAATAAATAAACAAACAAAACTAGGTTTATATTTAGGGTTATGTTTCTTAATGATTTTTTCATATTTGTATTTGAGTACCTGACGACTGACAATTGGTGTTTCATTGTCATGAGTGGAAGGAGGTCATTTCTGCACCTCGAGGTCTTTTTTTAACACAATTCTGTAATATCACAGGCATGGTTGCAGCTTAAATCTACATAGCCTGGTTTTTCTTCACCTAATGCTCGCTTTGGTGCAGTTCCCATCCTTGGTGCAGATTACTTGCACATCCAGGTAATCCACTGCAAGGGAAAACCTAAAAACTGCATCTATGGTTAATGCAGGGGAGACCTAAAAGGCTTCTTCTAATCTGTCCTAAGCCACGGCTGTGCTTTCATACCAGGAGTAACCATGGCCAGCCTACTCCAATAGCCTTAACATCATCTTCAGGAGTGAATTCAGAGAACAGGTTCTGTGTGTTGGTGACATAAATACCAGCTATGCTTTTCTCAGTCGTTCAGAGAACTTTGTGGTGTCATCAAATGTATCAGAAGCATCAGTGTGAGTCTTGGCCATGGAGCAGTAAAGGATTTATATCTGTGTGTGATTAAAGTTGAGCTCTGAAAGTGAAGTCATGCAATCCATCATAGACCCTTACAAGGAGTTTTCTCCCAGCTGGAGCCAAACACGTAACCTACTGTAATGTGGTAAAAACATCCTGCAAATCTGTAATTCATCCTCCTCTCTCATGTATTCGGATCAAAGAGAAAGAACAATATTCTTGTCAGCTGTTAATGTCACTTTTGCAACGCCCAGCTCCACGATGTGGAGTAAGTGGTCAGTGAAGAATCCTCCTCTCCCAGGGGAGGGTGTTGGGTTTGTGTCTGATGTAAATTTTCAGATTACATGCATCATTTTTCAGCTCAATTAGAAATGCAAGGTGGGGAAAAACTGAATGAGAACTAAAAGCTTTGTGGATATAGAAGCTTCTTTGATTAAAAAGTGGTTGAGAAACTGAGGGAAGATATTTCTGTCAATTTTTTTTCTCTTTGGTCAGAATGTGGCTTTTTACTGAAAATATTCTAATACAGAGATTTCTTGGAGGCTTCTTTGTTCCTACCCTATTTTCCTATTTGAAGAACACTAAGATGGCACTTAAAGACATGGTTTAGCATCAGTCTTTTCTCATCTAAATTATTCTATGATTCTGTGCTGGGTAAATCACTTTGAAATGTTTTCAGTGCTGTTAGATTAAAGGTGCTAGTACTCCAGGAATCACCCACTCCTCTTTCATGGGACACGTATTGGCACCGAGACTCGTCTCACTCATTGGCAGGTTTGTCCCAGCTCACCTTCTGCTGTAGTCCCAAGCAGCTGCACTGCTGAGCAGCCACTGCTCTGTCTTACGGGACCTACAGGTCTGGGTAGGTCTTGTTTACATTATTTGAAATCAGTGATGTGCTTTAAGGATGCTGCTCCTGTTTGCTCAATCAAATGTTTCCTCTTCAGCATCGGGGGGTTTCTTTCTCTCTGCTCAGAACAGAAGGTTGAAATTCTGCCATCTGTGTGTGTCATCAAGCTCATCTGGGTAGCAGGATGTCAGACCAAGTCTCTTGACTTCAAAGCTGCAAGGCCCAAAGCTGGTCTGTAGGGTGTTGTCTGGAAATGTAGTTCTTAGTTTTGTGCATTGCATCAATCGGTGTTGTTTAAAAAAGATCCGTGTTTTTATAACTTGATTTTATATGTGCACTGTGTGAAAGGAAACACCAGGATACTACAAACCTACAGAAAGCCTTAGTTTTCAGATTTCACTGATAATATTATTAGAATGTTTTAACCATGTACCAGTTACTCTACAGCAACAATAAAGACCTGAAGCATTGCACGTGTTTAATTTTGTTGTTTTCTTTTTACTGCACCTTTAAGGAACAAACCTTGTCTTCAATCCTGTAGTTGGCTCTGTTGGGCAGATTGGTGTCCATTTGGATGCTCAGCACATGGTTTGTGGCTGTTGGAGGGGAGACCCCCCCCTTCTCTCCTTGGGAAGTTGGAAGGGGGGTCTGACTGTACCCTCACTCAAGCTTCTTTGTGTAAAGGGGTGCAGAAACCTTCAAGAGTGTGCAAGAAGTACAGCTCAGCTTTAGCCTTGCTGTGCTGCTTAACCAGGATTGCTAAAGAGTAATCTGTGTTAGGTGCTGATCCCTGGGTAAGTCCTCCATTGTAGCTATATCCTTTTACCGTCTGCGGAACTGCTGACACAAGAAATGATCTATGGCAAGGGTCACGTTCTTAGAGGAGCTGTCTTTAATGTAATTTCAGATCAAAGGCTCCTTGATTTCTCTCTCCATTGCTTGAATGCTAATCCAGTGTGGAAGCACAAGGGCTGTGTTTCTCAGCTCCTCGTTACCTGATGGGGAATAGCCTTGCTGTGACAGCCCTAGTAAAACAGCTGCAGCTCTAGCAGGTAGCATGTGTCAGAAAAAAACACAAGAAACTGGTAGCAGTTTCTGCAGCTAGAAAGGATATTTGCCATGTCTCAGAGCATTCAAATCAGTCCCCTGAAGTAAAAATGAATGGCTTGTCACTCTGGAAAGATGGTTGACCCTTCCTGTTGGTTTCCTCAGAACTCAAGTATGCAATGAAAAAAATGTATTTATCTATCTTTCTTGTCATTACAGAAAATAATAGTAATGGAGGCCAAAGCTTTCTCCCTCCAGCTGCCCCAAAACTGCCTCCTTTGCAGTTCAATACAACAGCAAAAAGGTTGACTGATTTTCTGAGTACCTTGGATCAGACCACAAGCTTTCTCAACCAGAAATTGCTCCTGGGAGTGGGGAGCAAGGTCTGCTTGTAATATGGTTGGGTGACTCTTGTCTTAGAGAGGGTTTCTGCTGAGACACAGAAGAGGCAGAGAGCGCTCACCTCTGTTCTTGCTAGGCCTCTCGAAAGTCCAGGCATCTTTATCAGGAGTGGATATAAGGCCCCGAGTTTTTAAGTAGATGTCTTTTTCTATTACAGTAGGGCCTCCATATGGTTTGTCATCCCTTTTTCTGGAGGTCTTCATCTGAAGTCACTGTTTTCTCTGGTGATGGGATATGCAGAAGACTGACAGGAGGAGTTTGAGCAAAACTTGACCTTCATACCTGCTCTCAGGAGAAGAGGGAAGGGTGTTTGAGATCCTTCATGCTGGGGTGCATGAGAGAGGCAGGTGTGCAGGTGCTGGTGTAATGGTTTTGGTGGTCAGCAGCCTCTTCCCTAGACTTCTCTCTCCTTTTGCTTGTGTGAGACATAAGGCAATAGCCCTTTCACCCTCATCTGCAGGGAGCAGAGAAGCACCTTCAGCCTTACCAAAGGGAAGAGCTAGAGGAGCTTGGGCCTCAGCATTGCTTCTGCATCCCCAGGACACCTAGCAGAGGAGGATAAGCTGTGCAAGGGCGCAAGAGCACAAGGAGATGCTGTGGGAGTAGGGTGGAGTAGGAAGCACTGCAGGTTGCAGCAGATCTGTAACCTGGCACTGACATCACTGCTGGGTTTTCTTTGTCTGCCTTCATTGCTTGCTCTGCTCTTTGAACTGCTGGGTGTTGAGTGAGTGAGAGAAATGTATGTTGATTGACACTGAACCTAGAGGGGAGGGAAATGTTAGGGATAACAGGATAGAGGTGGGGAATGTTAGGGATAACAGAAATGCTATGGAAAGTGTTGACTCCTGTCAGTGCTGGGTACAGCTGTTGGGAGCATGTCATCCTACTTCAGTCTGAAAGAAAAGGGCTCTGCTAAAATACTTCTCTTCTCAGACATCTTTAGGTGAAGTGGGGAGAAAAAGAACATCCTCCATGGGGTGGTTCCCAGCTTTACCCACTAACTGCCTTCTTTCTGTTCTTACCTGCCATGCTGCCCACTGATGCTGGCATGGCCTGTGTGTGCCTGTAGCTAGTTGGGGTGATACATCCTCTCTTTCTGTACTCAAGTGTCTCACTTGATGTCCTGCCTTTTAAGACATTCAAACAGCTCCTCCTGTTCCTTTTCCTGGCAGCTGTGCAAGACCCTGAGTTCTTTAAGGATAAAATAATCCCTCACTGTCAGTAAGATTCCCAGCAGCAGGCTGGGAAGCTACCCACCTTTCCAGGGAAGCTTGCAAAGTCAGTTGTAACACAGTGCTGCCTTATGCAATCCATGTTTTGCCTGGCAGCTGGGTGCTCCCTCACCTTGCTGGCAAGGAGCTGCCTCATCATCCCCCTCACCACCGCTGCAGTTAGTTCTTCTTCCAGATTATCTCCTGAAATGATCCAAGTGGAGATGTTGTGCATGCTGGTAGATCCCCAGGTTTGCTTCCTACAGCTTTGCAGTCCCTGCCAATGCTATTTCAAGAGCTCTCTGAAGCTCATCTCTGAACTCTTTCACTTGAGAAGTGCCCTTTTTATAGCTACTTAAGCAAAGGTCCCCACTTTCCCAGGGGCTTTCCTTGGTGCTTTGTGATGGGCACAAATCATCAGTCAGTGGGTCGGTCTCAAGGTCATGGAGAGGAAACCTTTCCTCTGCTGTAAGGGCAGGAGGGATTCCCTTCCAACACTTGGATTCCGGTTGGATCAGAATACCATGCGGAGTCCTGGACACGGGGAGGTCAGGAGGTGAACTCATGCTGCTTCTAACAGGCCTTAACACCAATCCCTGCAGGAGCAGAATCAGCCATTTAATGCTCTAAACAACCCCTTTTAACAGTAAACAAGTGTCTCCTGATTCCTTTCTTGCTCTATGCCTTCCTTCTCCTCTTTCCCTGCCAGGAGCAAGAGAGGAGAAAGTTTTGGGACACCTTCTGTGCTACAGTTGCTTAAAGCAGAACATGATGCTGAAGCCACTGTCCTGTGTGGATTGAGCTGTGCCCAGCAGGTTCACAAGGCAGGAGTTGAGGACTGCTCAACACTGCAAGCTCCTTGCATTTGTCTGTCCCTGGAGGGACCCACATGGAGAGGGACTGGATCCAGTTTCTCACCCACTGCTAGTCTATTGTGTGAGCACAGGCCAGCTGGTTTGTCTTCCTGGGTTACTGCATG